ATTACTGCAACGCGGTATAAGTATCATCGATTTCCGATTTCTCTGCGACTTTCGTGCGGCACTTCGACTCCATTCAATTTACCGTACAGGATTACGGCTGCGAGATGAACCAGTGTCTTTCAGTATCTCTGACACGCTTGCAAAATCAGTAAAATTACTAGCATAGCAATAAATTTATAACTAAGGGCAAGTGAAAGTAAATAACTGCGGTAATCAGTAGTGCGTTATAATTATAAAAGTTATAATTAAATAGTTATAGAATAGAATAGAATAGTTATAGAATATAAAGTATGTTTACAATTTCATTACACATGTGACATAATATTCGATGGAAAATTCAAACTCAAAATTTACACAATAAACTTATAACTAAGGGCAAGTGAGAGTAAATAACTGCACGGTAATTAGTACGCTATAATTATAAAATGTAAAGTATATTTACAATTTCACTACATATGTAACACAATATTTGATCTAATATTGCATCACATATATACTGAAATTGTATAATATACTTTACACTTTTTAATTATAGCGCATTAATTACCGCGCAGTTATTTACTTTCACCTGCCTTAATTATAAGTTTATTGTTTGAATTTTAAAAATCCATTAGTAGTAGATTTTATTGTTATTAACATAAGATAGACCGAGATAAATTGAATACCAAGGCGAATCAGATCATGAATGCACGAAGAAATTTTGTCTCTCATATAAAGTCCCAAAAAATTACGAATTTGTGATTTTGTAACAAAAAAGTATATCGAAACTTATAATAACTTTTATAGTGTATGGTTTACTGAATAAGTCTAATAAAAAATTAATCTAATAAAAAATAAACTGGTGATCTGTTTCGTCCCTCAATTTCGGAGTAAAACAAATCCCTTTTCTTTTTGCGTTATGTAATAGAAAATACCATATTTATGTATTATTTTAATATATGAAATCCCCAAGCCAAAGTTATAAAAATTAAGAATTTACAATAAAATTTAATAAAATTTAATTTTTGTTACTTTTTTATTCGAGCCGTTTGACGTAATAATGATATATATATATATATAAATCATTATTATATCTTTTACTCCTCGATAATTATCCTGCTGCATTTATCGATCGTCGCTGTTTACATTTCGAAATAAAATGAACCGAATAAAATTACATGAATCTGATAGTTGACCGCCCTTAAGTGATTCTTGTCATAAAAATACAAAATAAAAAGGTTATAATACACGGCAGTAAATACTACATCAATCGAATTAAAACCACACTATCATTTTCCCATTATCTGGAATCATTTCGGCAGAGTTGGCCGACTTATTTAAATTTAATATCGATCCACCCGATGATCATTTGATGAACCATTAACCTTGAATTGCATATGTTGCTAAAAATATTTGTAAACCGGATTCACCTGTGTATACAATCACAAAAATAATTGTCCACACAGTGCGCCATTATATTGATAATTTCTCTTCAAACTATTATCTGGTTAATTATGATTTCTTTCACACGTATTACAACTGATAGTTTCACGATTAGTTGTCCAAATCTAAATATAAACTATCAGTGTCATAATGAATGAATAAAACCATTTTTAACACCCGATAACATTTTGAAGAAATTAATATAATGCCGCAATGTTCGAACAATTAGTTTCGTGACTGTATACATTGTGTTGTATAACATATTATAAGACGTGGTAAAAATTAATATAATAATCAAGGACAGAAATTAAGGAAAGAAATTAAATGAACTCTTCTAATTAAGAAAAGGAAATCTCACTTACATATATAGCAGTTTAAATTTATGAAAAATGCGTCAGAAAAGAAAACAAAAAAATTTTTATCTACAAAATTTATATTTAAGTCTCCGAAATAAGTATATTATTTATATTACAAAACGCAGTTATAATTTTTCTCCATTTTTCCATTATATCAGAATATCAAATTTTGATAGTACTTTTTAATACTATGTATTATAATAACTATACATACATGTAGTTATTACTGATATAGTTATTACTAATGTCGATATTTTAATATTTTATTATGTATTACAGCGTGCGCGAATATTAACCAGTTTTGCGAGAAAAAAAAACAAAATCGCTACTCCAACATGTAACACAAATTTCCATTTGCAAGCATCGTATAAATCCGGTAACGAGCAATGCGATTGAGAGACTATAAACGGTGAATAAAGGCCAGAACGTTCGCATCGACTTATTTAAATCCAATGGCGACCCGAAAGAGAGTAGTAAGCAGGGTCGCCGTTGCGCGAGAGTCTCCATCTTTGGTTGCTATAAAATACATTTCTGGGACGAGAGACATGGGCTTTTGCCATTCCCTAGCTCCCTCGGCGTGTCGTCGGTAATATTGCTTGCAATAAATTACGCGGTCTTCTCTTCCAACAGCCCCGACCTCTCTTCATTCCTCTTTCTCATTCTCTCTTCCTCTGTCTCCTTTCTTCGTCGCAGAATCTGCCACGTCCCGAATATCCTTCAAAACGATCCCGGCCGGGACTCCCGGACGACGTATCGCCGAAAATTTTCACGGGAATGTCGAGTCAGCTGACATATCTGCCCTTATCCGCCTTCGGACGTTGAGAAATCGCGCGCTGGAATTTTAACTCTTAAACTTACGTGCGCTCGTTTCCGAATACCTGAGTCTAATTACATTTTTGTATACGTTGTCATAGTTGCAAGGAACTCTCTTTTATTTTTGTTATACTCAAAATGAAAGAGAAGGATATCTTTTTTTCCTAATAAAGTATTCTCTACCAGAACGATTTTGCTGAAGTTTCTAAAAATTTAGCTAGATACAGATCTGAAAATAATTTTGTTTGGAGCATTAAAATAAATATATAGAACACATAAATTTGTTGTTAAAATATTAAAAATTTTTGCAGTACTGTCATCAACGCTTTGTAATACGCAAATTATTATATGCACTAATAATTATAATTCTACATAATTATTTTGATGGTCTAACAAATTTATCAGATCTGTATCTAGCTAAATTTTTAGATATTGTAGCAAAATCGTGACTTCCGTGCACATATTCCGATATATAAATATTTTGAAGATCTCCGAGAGAAAAAGCAGATCGGAATTTTATTCTTGTAATGCTCACGCTGTTCTTTTTACAACCAATATAAATCGTAGATATTTTATTTAACAATAGATCTGTATATTTATACCTGGCTTTTTATTTGAACATTTACGTAGAAAATATATCCAAAGCAATATATCTCACTTCCCCGTATAAATAACACTCACTCATCTTTGTCTGCAATTCCTTGATTATTTTATCATTACAAAGCTTTAAGCACTTTTACGACACTCTCTCGATGGTCTTTTCGAACGTAGTTTACTCACGACATTCAGAGAAGGTTCCATCTTCTGAAAACACCACCATAAAGAATAGTTATCTGTGAATCGGACGTTATTTGAGGATTAAAAGTCTTTGTCTCGATCACTGACTGCGCCAGTGTCTACCCTATACTTATAACCGCTCACGTCCTGTTTTAAGCGCTTATTCGCCCTTAACCGCCACACAACCTACCCTTAACGTGTATAATCCTGGAGGGTGGGAATGGAATACGCGTGACGCGGCACGGCGCGGCGGCCCGAGCGCATAATACGCGGATAAATTGCACAACCGGAAAATCTCCCCGACCGTTCGCTGATACCGCATAAAGGGACGGATTTAATATAACGGGTAGAGGATGTGATTATAAACAATGCGACCCGTCGAGGCTTTCAATGACCATCCCTGTGCCACTTCTATCGCTATTCTGCACATCACAAACAAGCTTGGCTGGCGATTATCATCCCAAAGAAGCCGTCGGAAACAGAGTTATGAACCGTTCTGATCCTGTGTGAGTAAAATTACCAGACTTTTTGAGGAAACAGAGGATATTAAAAACTAAAATGTCTGAGACTAACAATTATGTAAAGGAAGGTCACCGATACCGGTACACCACTGTGTTTTTAAACAATATTTCTTAAATAAAAGCTAAAACTAAAGCTTTAAAAATGTAAATACAAATTAGAAAGTGTCTTCTATCAGACATTACAGTTTTTATAATACCGGTTGCAATTTTGCAATAATTAACTTTTTCGTACGATGCAAAAATGAACGTCTGACGAAATGGACCTCAAAACTGCCACAGTAGATAGTAATGTCACACATTTCTATTCTTTTTCTTTCACAGGTGTCATCTGTATAAAATATCTACAAGTGAATGTATAATATATAAAATTTTCTAGAATCTTTTTAACAAAATGCTTTTTGTTGATTTATATGCATACTTTGTGCTGTTCTGTAAGATGCAAATATAACATGATAGTTTTTTTTTAGGATTTTTCTATATAAGTACACGATTATTTTTAGTCATAAATATATAAGTTATAAGTTTTTACTTCTTTAATTATTTAAAAAAATCATTATGTTTTTATCAGTAACAATAAAGTGCAATAATTAGTTTTCAGGAAATAAGGGGTATCTCTTTAAAAGACCTATGTCAGTATTAGCGACTTTCCTTTATTTATTTTAATCTTACTTCTTAATTTTAAAAAATTTTTTCTTGATATTATATATATATATATATATATTATAATTTTATTCTGTAGCGCGCAATAACATATATACAATATTTCATTATGTTTTATGTATATTGTTATACGTGCGAATTTTTTTTGGTAACAAAATGAGCGTTCCTCATTTTCCTCAGGATTATTGATTTGCTTGACAGTCGAAAAAAAATACTATGCTATTGCTCACATTGTTCACCCCTTCTAAAGCGCTAAGAGACCGAGTTTGTGAAATATCGTGTGAGATACGAAATTTAATACTTCGTCGCCGTATATTAAGTCGCGGTGGTGTGGACAATGCCGGGGTCAGCGACCCATGAATGCGAGTATCCTGATAAAATTTAACGGACCAGCTGCACTCGCGTAACGCCGTGAATCTCTCTTCCTCGACGTTTTGCCTTCTATGTGGTAATACACACACACACGCACGCACTTGACATGCGGCGTTTGCGTCTGACGCCAGTCTATAGAAATTCTAAACAAAGAAATTGATTATTTTAGCGCAACGCGGAAAGGGGAAACGCGCAGCCCTCCTCCTCGCTGTAACTTACAGCTTTCACGATGAATTCGTAGCTGAGGCTTTTCTCAGAGAGAAATGAAACGCGACGTCTGGCTGTAATTTAACGTAGAAAACTAAAGTAATTCAGAAGGCGAGCTTGGAGAACGAAAGTACAAAATCCTATTCTTTAATTAACTTCTTATTTTTAATAAGCGTTATGTAAAAGGAAAATACAGCATTTAAATGAAAATTTCCATTAGAAAGAAATTCTAGTTCTTATTACTAACATTATAGCAGTAATAATCATAATTATGATAACATATAATTATAGTCATAAATATAATACCAAAAATTTTTCTCTCAGTGGAAGAAGAAGATAATAATAATTTGAATAAATGAGAATAATTGAATAAATGAATCAAAAGACGGCAGAAAATAATCGAAATAATTATTGTTACCTATTATGTAACAAAATAATAATCGAGCTTTTTACTGTATTCAGGATTGTCACAAAAACTGAAAATTAGGAAAATCAGAGACTTGCCAGGGAAATTGAAAATGGTCGGAAAAATTAGGAAAAAATCAAGAAATTTTGCAAAATTCTAGAAAATTCAAATCCTTGGCTTGAAAAAAGTTTACATACTAAAAAAAATTATTATAAATCTTAATACATATATTTCTTTGAATAGTACTCCTAAGTAAATATAAACTTACACTAAACATTATTAAGTAAATAAACATTTACTCAATAAAAGAATAATAGTTAAATCAAATTAATTTTTGTATCAAATAAATATACAATATATTTACATTTAATAAATATTTACTTGATAATATTCAAACAAATATTTGATATTCAAACACATATTTATTAAAATCCAGTGTTTTTTTTTTTCAATGTACTTCGTGTCGCATCAACAGATTGATCAGTATAGCTATTTTATAACATGTAATACCTTCACTAGCAAACGTTACATTTATAAAATGTAATCGCGCGATCGATCAATTTTATAAATATAATCAATCAATTAATTTTATAGATCAATTAATTTTATATGTAACGCCTGCTGGAAAAGGCATTACATTTATATATAATCTGACATACTGACCAATATGTTGATGCAACATGCGATACATTGATTTCTCTACAAAATATTTAATGGTTTCCAAATCAAAACAAAACTACAAAAAATTTCAAAATATTATTAGAAGTTCAGGGAAAATCATAAAATTTTTTGTCTGGAAATCAGAGAAAAGTTGTTGAATTTTAAGATGAAAAATTTGTGACAACCTGTGTACATCGAATTGGAAAAAAAATATCCCTCGTCCGTGACAAACTCATCACACAACGAACGAAGAGATTGTGATATATAACAAATAATACATCAATGTTATGCAGTTTATTGAAAAAGAGAGTCGTGGAATCCTACGAGTAAAATAATTTATAACCAGAGTAGGGGAAAAGAGAGAGTTATGTGGCGCCCGTGCTATGTTCCGCAATTAGCGGGAATCAATTTGTGTCGGAAACTATTAAACACCACTTCCTTCCATCCTAATTTTCCGGTATTATTCGCTACCCTCGCTGAATCCGAAGACACGCCTGCCGCATAAAATGCCGACGCGAATAACATAAATTACGGAGTCGACACGTGTCGCTGATAATCAACAAGTATAACATGCGCGGCGGATTGTAATTAACAAATATAATTCTCGGTTTGCAGAAACGGATCCTGTTTTGCGCGGCGAATTACGTGCGGAAACGCGCTCTCATCGCTAACCGAAATCAATTCTCTCGTGTTCCAGTTGCTTTTCGAATATAACGAATATTAAATGTCTTTGATAATGAAGATTAAACATTGAAACGTTTGTTAGTAACTTTCAATTAAATAAAAAATTTTTAACTTTATTGAATCAAATGTCTCGCCTTTCTTTCTAAAAATGTTAAATATTTATGATATTTCATTAATTCTTCGCTCACCATTACGTATTTTAGGAAAATGCGAAAATCAAATGAAATATGACTTTATTTAAACATTTTCAATATACAGCTTTATATGAAATTTAATAATTTATTTAATTAAGAAGAGAAATTCGTAACTTTCATTAAATTCAGATTTGCGTGTCTATCCTCGCGGAAAATCTTGTATATTATTGATAATTAACAAATCAATCTTTGCTGATTGAAGTGAATATTTCTTCGTACAGGTTTTGTTTACAATTAATAACAATAACAAATAACGTTAAATAATATCAGTCACTTTATCTTTTCAATGTAAAATATCTATATTTTCGTTAAATTTTTCATATTATACTTTACTGTTTTTCTAGTGTAACAGTATTAATTTTGAAAAATAATATTTCTTCAAATGATTTCCACACAAAAAATAGTACGCAATACATATTTCAAATATATCTTATTCAATAATAAATTTGTCAATTTTTAGTCTTATTAATAATACATTTATTTGTTTATTAATAATATACGTTATCTATCATACTACATTTAATTCATAAAGTTGAAGAAAAGAAGATATTTTTGTGCAGCTGTGTGTGAAGTAAAAAAAGGCTTAAATTCATTTAAAGAAAGACATTATAAAAAAAACTTAATTTAGCTAAAGAAAGACTCTACTTATATCATTACATTCTACTTATTGTTATCCAGAATGGTTTTTCACTCTAGTTCGTTCACACTTCCATACCAGGTGAAATAAGGTTTTCCCATTCGGGAAACGAAAAAACTTTCAGGGGAGAGAACAGTAAGAGACTTTTCGTATCGCAGCACTGCAAAAAACGCCATAGTTTCACGCTCATTTCGTGCTAAATTCCTATTTTTTCTTTGCTGATACTTGCTACAGCAATTGCAATTTACTCTTTTCTCAAAAAGTTTTTGTTGCTTGACGTTGCTTTGTTGTTTTCAGACAAAAAGGAAAATTAGGAGATAATTGATAAGCAGAGTGAGCATTCGATACTCCTTTCTTTTAAATAACAGTCTTATCTTTAAACTTTAAAGAAATATCAGTCTTTTAGAAAAATTACTTAAATATCTATTTATATTACTTATTTTTAGAGACTATAAATTAACTTAAAATTAATAAAATTATTTTTATTCCTTTTTTTTAAAAGTCAAAAATATCCTTAAAATTCAGCTGCCATGTTCTAAATATTATTGGAGAGCACTTTTGAATATTTTAAAGACCAATGTCGCAAATAATGTGAATAAAATTAATTAGTTTATGTGAAGACATAATAGTAATGTTTTTATTATAAATGTTGCAGCGAGATATATGTTAAAAGCAAATGATTATATTTTACACATATTTTTCACTAACAAGACTTTTTATTGTAAAAGTCTTGTTAATGAAAAATATGCGTAAAATACTTCTCGTACAAAGCGAGTTATTTTGTTCGTGATATCTTTTTTCTATATATATTTTTTGTATTTAAATGAGACAACAAATTCATTGTGACGTATGTACATTTTATTCATCATTCATTTGGACATTTTCAGATTACACATTGGACACCATCAATATATTTAAATTTTAACAAAAAGAATAAAGTATATGAATCCGTTAATAATAATAAAAAGATAATACATATAAATGTTCATATAAATCGTTTATTCTACTTTGGAAGACATATTTTTAATTTCACAAGCTTTTATATATTTCCCATAATTAAAAGCTATTTATATATTTAGTTGAGATTCGAGAGTTGAAACATAACAACTTGAAGTTCAGAGTTGGGAATTGAAGATCAGGAATTTATGCATATGCAAGCTTACAAACATTATTCTAAATCATATTTTATAAATCCTAACAATAATATCCCATGCTTCTCTAGTGCGATTTTATTGCCGAATGAATCTCAATCAGATGAATTTCTAGCGATAAATAGAACTTTTTACTAATGAATTGCATGTCGGATTCGCGTTTGCCCCGAAATAACGTCAAACATGAAAAACCTCGTTGTAATTGCCTGATCGACAGATTTCATTTCTAATGTTCTTGAAAAACAGATTCGAGACACATAGATGCGTACGTGTCTCATCCGCGTTTTATTTCGACGACGATGGCATCGGATTCACACCGTACGATTTTTATTCATGCCGTTCTTCCAGCTGCCCGCGATGATGCATGTTGATGAAATCGGACTGGGATCTCTCTCGCGAGCCGAGCCTAGAGAACGCGTTCCCCAGGAAGCAACAGTCGTCAACGATCGCTTGTCGGAAAGCGATAAATATCGCCGCTCGTAAATATCATGCGGTTAGCAACAATAAATCCCGCGTTACTTTGAAATCCCCACGCACAAAGTAAATCTCGAAGGACGCTACACTTCGGCTGTCATTTTACGCATTCGTTAATGTTGCATTGTACATTAAAGACCGGTATTCATAGTCAGTTCTTATATTCAAGACCATCTTAAGGATGTATCTGAGATATTTTAAAATGATAAAATTATGAAAAAATTACAGATTATTCTTTTCGTTATCGAATATTCTTCTCACATTCGATTGAGATTAACCAATCTTACGATTTAAAATTTATTACTCGTATTGTGTTTCGGAACTTAATAAATGACACAACTGAGCATAAAAATTTGCGTTACACATATATTTCGTATATAAATCGTTTTAAAGTTATTTTGAACTAATTAAACATTTTAATACTGTTGTCTATGTATCTGCATGAAACTGCAAAAGGCTTCAACTTGAGATAACAAGTATCAGTGACCCAGTTAGATTACCCAAAGTGAACTTGCTATAGATCTCTTGTCCAGTTTAGAAACTTTGTTAAACGAGGAAACACTGGTATTTATAAAGTATAATATCGTCTGGGGAGAGGTACACATACTCTTGCATGCAAAAATTCAGAGTTTCACGCATATCACATAATCGAAACTGTGGTGGATAAACTATGAAAATATATACAATGTATTTCTTAGCTCTTGAGATAACCGAAGTTTTAATGGCGTATCCTAAATTCTGAATGTAACATTTCAGACAAAATTTTATGGCAACATGTAGTACTATCTTATCTTTTTAATCGTAAGAAAATTATCTTAAAAATTATGTTTCAGTTTTTTAGTCTCTAAATCTTCGTAACTAAGATTATATTTCTTATACTAAAGAAACAGTATATTATAATCTTTAAAATATAAAATAACATTTCAAGAATAAAAATATTTTTTACTTAATTTATATTTATGCGCGTATTGAATTTTTTGTTCAACACTTTTAAAATTTAGTTGTCTTTCACACAATCGTAGAAATATTTATATTTATATAAATATAAATGTATAAACAATATTTGTATTTGTATAAATAATATATTTATATAAAATAAAATATTTACTTATTATATGTGAAAAGAAATATCATGAATGCACATATATATATATATATCATGCGCTTGCACTCTATGTACAATATAATGCAATAATCTTTAAAGCATGGTAAATATTTCGAGAATCGTTTATTTTTCGGAACCTCTTTTTTTCTATTCTCGTTCAGGATACGCCAGTTGGGTCAAGCTAGATAAATGGACTGTCGAGGACATCCTTCCGAGAATGGAATCCACCCTCGATTCTGTTTGCCCAACGGAACATGGAATAATCGTCACGCGGAACTGTACTTGAATCAAATCGAAAAGCGATGACATCGATCTTGTTTTATATTAACAGATATTTAGATTGTGCTTCAATCGCACTCTATTCAAAAAAAAGAAATCAGCCTATCAAAATTCCCTCAATATTCCATCGATATCACTTTAAATTTTTCATTTATGAATCTTTAGTGTGATATATGAAAATAGTATTTATTAATTTAACTGTCTCTAACGCGTTTTTAAGTTTTCTTTAACAAAATTTAAAAAGTAATAAATAAATAAGTATGCAAATTTTTTAAATAAAATTGCTAAAAAATTTCACGAGGAATGCTAGAATTTAAAAAACTCGCAGCATTAAAAATTTTTAAGTATACATATAAACGCATATAAATAGTATTAATTTTAGTTTCTAAGCTTATACGTTTTAATAGTTAATAATAATAATTTAGTTTTGTTTATCCAAACAAAAATTAACCCAAAAATATTTTTTATATCTATAATAAAAAAATTTATCACATACGCGTACATATATAAACACTGCTCATTACACAGCATTAATATGCATTATCAACTCTGATTGACAGAGTAATCAGAAAGCAGCACGTATCCATCTCGAGAAAATTTGCCATCAACGTCCTGTTGAGATTAATTTTTACATCATTCGAGATTCGCATGAAGTTCGAAAGTAAGACTGATTTATTTAATGTACGCACGTCTAAACGTACAGCGCGTAAAGTAAGCAGAGAGGCAGCTTCCGCTTATACAGTTTTCCGTGGAGAATTACTCTCTTCACGGCACTCCCGTGGGATACATTCGCCGCTCCTTGTGTACGCGACGATGTTTCCTGCATAATGAAACAATATCGCTTGTGCCCTGTTCTCCATCTCCTTTCAAGATTGAACGAGCACCTTCGGCTTCCCTATTCTTTTATTTAATTCCTTGGGGTATCGAGGGAGAATCAAATTCAACGATATGTTCAGCGCGCCTTAAATTTAAAAGATGCATACACCAAAGGAGGAAAGTTCGGTGGAAAATCTTCACCGAGAAATGGCGAGCGCGAGAGATGACTTTGACGGATCGGTCGCCCTTGTTAACCATGTGTTACCGTTGTGTTCCCTCGGCGATTCGCGGGTGCGCTCGTATAATCTACGTAGTACGGCTCCTCTCCTTCGTCGTCTTATTACCGGAATAACGTAATATTGCCAGCATGTAGTCGGTGAGATCATCGCGACGACGAGGCGTGATCGCGCTAAGACGCCTCTCTCCATCCGACTTAACGACATTCTCGTGGCGGATTAGATCGAGCGAGATAATAGTCCGGGTGCAAAACGAGACAGAGCATATGACGCTCCGTGTCGAATGGGCTGGGATTAGCCGGAGATCCGGCGAACCTGAAGCGTGGATACCGCGCGCTTAGCGAAATCCTGACGTTGAGTGCGTTTCATGCGAGATTTTCACGGGTCCGCATCGTTTACGTGCGATTTAGTGGAAGCGTTTACCCACTTTGCGCTTTTAGCATAATGCAACATCGTCGGATATTGGGATGCAAAGCGCGGTTGAGAGCTGCAACTAGCGCGGGTGTCTTAGAACTAAGGCGTCGACTTGACGGCTACGTTGAGCCCCGCATTTACTTAGCGGCTGGAAGAAAAATTTTTAATCAAATAGACCAATAATTAATCTATTGAAGAAAAAAAGAATTTATATTTTATATTATATATATTAATTAAATTTAAATTCTTTTTGTTTTCACAGGCAATAGTCAGAATTAATCTCGATTAAACTTGCTTTAATCTCGGTTTAAGTAATCAACTTGTTTGCTCTCCATCTTTCTCTAATTCTTAGAATTAAAAGAAGATGAAGAGTTAATTGAACCAAAATTAAAAATTTATATAAAATGCCATTTTACAATCACGTTTGTTCTGGAGAATGTTAATTGCAATCGTCGTTTCTGACAGGAATCCGACAGTCTGGCGGTATTCTCTGAGCTGCTGAGATACACAAGCGTACGTGAGTTGAGCTTATGCAACGCACGCTTGCATTTAGCAGTGCATGAAGGTCCTTTGGCGAGATTGGGACGTCGCGATGACGCCGGCGCCGAGCTTCTGCGAGCCGCACCACCGCCGGCCTGTCCAGCGATCGTCTTCCTGAGACTAGCTGGATTTCAAGTGAGTGAATACCCTCTCTTCTTACAATTAAATACCATTTCGTAAAGATATTCTATTTATTCACAAATTTTTCCTAAAAATCCAAACATACACACACAGAGAGAGAGAGAGAGAGAGAGAGAGAGAGAGAGAGTGAGTACGAAAGCCGATCATAATTTTTTTTAATCATCTTTATATTCTGACAATATTAATTATTTCATTAATTTTTCGTTTGAATAAAAAATAAATTTTTTAATGTCAAAATCTCAATTACAACTTTCATATTTATAAAAGTAATCCAAAGATCGAGTTTACACATTAAACAATCGGAAGACTATAAAAGCGGCTTCGAATCGATACTTTATACAATATTACATGAAGTGAAGGATAAAATAATTAGCAGGAGATCCTTGAAACTTGCCTACAACTCGCTTAATGAACGTAACACTATAATGTAACAATGCTGCAATGACATACGCAATTCTATTATATCGAACTAACATATGAAGCTTTGACCACATTTGCTGATGCAGTTACGCGTCTTCGAATGCATCGTGCATATCCGGGCGCCCGTGGTATTACGAGTGGGTAACATACGTATACGGCATCGCGATTCTCCAGTAGACGCAGATGTAGCTGTCTACTGACTGTCTCTCTGACGAGTTTCCTAGATGTACAAGGCTATGTAGCTATCGTGTTCCCAGGATCTGTGCTGGAACCATTAGACACACCCACATTCTAGCCACAACAGAGGGGCACAGTTCGTGATGTGAGTCTCTTTTCTCGCGGAGATGATTCGTTCCGCTTGAAAAATGGATTTCCGTTACGATTCGTGAAACACACCAGAAGAAAATCGGTTATTCCACTGTAATACAGAATATCGCGTTCCCCTTCACCTCATATGGTGTTTCCTCGGGTAATTCCGATTCCGGTCAGGAAATTACGAACGTGCTCATGCCCATGGAACATATCCTAATATCGTCTCACTGAAAGTATCGTTTCACTGAAAGTCTAATTCCGGACAAACTCCGACCCTGGAATCCTATACGTATCCAGATATTTTGTGGAAAGGGCGTGAGATATCAATTATTATTTAGGCCATATAAGAAAATTTATGCACACAGAATATAGAATGCGCAATTCTCGGTATCAGAAAAAGCGATAAAAACTCACTTTTCTCTGGAAAAATTGCATTCGAACAGGATTTTTTAAAATGAGACCAATTTTAGGCTAACGAATAAGCGCTTTAAGTTACGCACGAATCGACGTGCGACGTGCGGTGAATGTATCTACGTTGTTTTATTATCTCACTAAAGAGAACAGATTTTTTTACACAATAACTCTATGCATGATATTTAAATATCTCACTATTCGAAATATAACTTACTTTATAAAAGAAAATTTTCAAACTGATATCTCTAAAGCAACGGCCGAAAATAATACGTACATAATGAGAGACCCAACTTTTGCATAAAAGTTTTATTTTAAAATAAATATGTCGTACAATAAAAAATCTTATTACAAAATGAATATGTGTATACAAATCGAAAACCTTGTGTGTGTGTGTGTGTGTGTGTGTGTGTGTGTGTGTGTGTGTTGCATTTTGAATACAAGTTTTAAAATATTTAATCGATATCACTATAATATTGAAATTTTTTAAATAGATTATAGAATTTTATAAATGTAGAAGTAACTTTTTTCAATGTTAGATGTAACGTTTGAAAATAATTTTTATTATTTTTCTTTTGGAAAAAACCATTCATACTTATAAAAAGAAAAATTGATTATACTAAGATAACTATTTCATTTCACGTCGCGAAAGCCAATTCCATGTCCGGAATGTTCGCCAGATTTCGTGTCACTTCCCTCCCTTATCTATAAGTCATACATTTTCGATTGTATGCGCAATTACTGTCCGCACCACGACAGCAATAAATAAAGGACAGCCCGGACCAACATACGTCTTTGTAGTCTCCGCATTAAACCGACCCCCAATTCCATTACCCTTGTCTCCGTGCAGGATATCCCTAAAATAAATCGCTAAACTTCGCAGTTCCCCATCTTTGCCAATTTGCAATTTGATTTTTCATTAATGAAGATACAGCTTTGCTCGTCTTAAGTTTTTAATTAAGTACTTTCGTTTTAATCATTTTTCAAGTTGACAATGATTTAACTTGCTTTTTTTAAAGGCACGAGCAAACTAACTTAGATGTTTTTAACTTGGAAATTGATCTTCTAATGTTCTTAAATAAGTTAAAATATTTTAAATTATGTTAAAATTTCAAGACTATTAAATTCAAGATTAAGAAAAATTAAATTTTGTTATTAAATAGGTATTAAATCTTTAAAATTTAGTTTTTTTTCCTTTTAATTGCTTCTTACTTAGAGATAGAGATGAAAATGGCCGAAAAAAAACTAGAAACTTTAAATAAAAAACTCAGCAGTTGTTTTCTTAATACTTGAAAATTTATTACTTGGATATATTTTTTGTAGCGTTTGACGATTTTGATGTTGTACTAGAATTATTCTAAAATTCAATTTTTGTATTCATCTAAAAGATTTCTGTCAAAAGATAACTATAAAAATTAAAATGTAGTACAATGACTAAGTGACATGGATCACTATCGTTCATAATAATAATAATAATTATTATTAATTATAACTAACACAAATAATATTTTATTAGAATAATTAACTGCTTTTGTGATATATTTGTTATCGTTGTATATAAAATATAAACTCTGTTTTGATTAAAAATAATTTTTTCTGTAAGAACCCGTTTTTTATATAATATAATACTTTTCTTTAAAAAAAGCCTGTTTCTTTATTTTTTCTTAGAGATTATAAAAAGAAACAAATTAACGAGCGAAACAAATTGTGTCCGTTAAGATCTACCGACGGAATTATTTCTGATTGCAGGTGACAGTGAACGATCGCCTGGCATTGCGCGGGCCGTTGTTGCTGCCGTTCCTGGCGGGTTTCACATCGTTGAGTGAGCTTGACCTGTCGCTAGATAAATCAACAATCGGCGGCAGCAGTGGCTCGTTGCTCTTCATCGACGACAAGATTCTGCAGCAGTTCTTCGGTTGCCTGGCGGCACACTTCCGCAGTCTGCAGTCGCTTCGGATCAATTTCTGGCGGGTCACCCTGGAAGACAGCGACCGCACAATGCGACAGATCGCCAAACATCTCAAGTTATGCGGCTTAAGTTTCCTCAGAGCGAACGGCCTAATCGTCACCGACAGCGCCAAGCGTGTACAGATGGAACACGTGTTCGTGCAAACGATCCTCACGCACCTGCAGTGTCTCACCTGGCTGTGCCTGGACGGCGTCGAGCTGACCGAGACGCAGGCCACCAGCGTGGGCAAATGTGTGCGGGATCGTTATCCCGGCACTGCCCTGGAGATCAGCGCCAAGGACATCCACGTAAGATCCGTCAAGGCTCTGGTAACCGCGGCCGAGGAGGGCGGCAGAACGGAAGTGGTTTATACCGGCGGCTCCAGCTGCCGCCTGAAGATTACGAAGCTCCAGAAGGGCGGCCGAGGAAAGAAGAAATGAAGGGCTCGCGGGCGATAATTCGGAGGAAGTTATCCTGGCACACAGTTTACCGCGAGATAAAGGGGAACGAAGAGAATCGATTGAACGAGATCGATTGATCTCTTCGCGGATGCGACTGTGGAACTAGGAAAGTTCCGGAGATTGAAGGGAGAGAAGGCAACGAGATTAGATCAACAGATCGTGCTGGAGAAACGATGCGGAGAAGCTCGAAGTATCGGAAAAAGGGAATAGATAAGATGGAGATATAATGTAGATTTTCTAGGAGCGACGGATATCAAAGAGAGATAGTGCATTGAGAGCGAACATCGATGTCAACTTCAAATGGGACATATGAGTCGCACGTTGAATGAAGAAGAGGCTAAAGATGCAGGGGAGTACGAAAAAGGAAAATGCGGGTTAACTTTGCGGATTTTCGTCTTACTGTGATTTCGTTTCCTGCGCGTCAGGCGCGCTTACCTACGATATAGACTCTATAGATTATAGCGATTTATTAGACCTCGAGAAGGATTCGAAGGCAATGGGAGATGCACTACGCTTTCACTCACCTAACGCGTTCAAGAAATTAATAAAAGAAGCGCAAACACGCAACCAATATGACTTGGGAAATCATTTTCGCTGTTTCGACATGATTTTGGCATCGTTTTTCATCAAAATCGTGTCACGCGAATAAAAATGATATCAAAGCTAAATCGCCTGTTTAAAAATATACCTCTCATTTTGAAGCGTTTGTTTTTAAATACTGGTTTGTAAGCGTTGTCGTTAATAAGACGGATTAATAATCTTGTCATATGGACTTATTTATATCTTTCTTGTTTAATCTTTCATATCTATTTTTCATAACTTCACGTATTTTTTAACTTTTTTATGAATTTTTTTACTTTTGTAGGCCTAATAGGTTGAATTACTTCGTTCATATATCTCGAAGTATTTGTTTCAATAAATAGGAACACAAGATTGCGTTTGCTTCATTTTATGCAATTATAATAATAACCAATGAATTTTTACGTATAAATCTCATTATTATGAAAGAAAGTCGATTCCGTTGGATAAACGAAGATGGAAGTTTTCGATGCCGTGTAGAAAAATGGTCTTCCCGATACCTTTTTGAAGGAAAGAAGACGAAAATATAAGAGAGGAAGATGTTTTAAGCGATGGAAAAAGAGGCTGTTGCGATTACATAAGTATCGTTCGTTGTTATTAGATGGAGATGTAAAATACGATTCAGAGTAATATATTATTAGCGATATAGATCACATCACGATCGTCACGATATTATTAAATGTTACAATCGACCGTCATTCGCGATCGGCGAGATGCAGACCGAGATGCCGGTGGCTTTATCGAGAAGGTGGTATATTGTTGGAGATTTGGAGAAATTTTATAGAATGAATTATAAATGATAGGCACATGAAAAAAAACACACACACACACACACATATACACATACGCGTGTACGTGCGTTTCCGCGGCAATGTGGAAGGAAAGAAAGTCTCGAATACTCGTAATTCTTGCAATAGAAGATACATAATAGGCAGGCACTCGACGCAAGCTATTGTTGTATAAAGTAATTAATTATTGTAATTAAGATGACTGCCAAATCGCGTAATACTTGAGAATCCGCGCTCTTCGCGCGCCACACTTAGCTGTGCTAAACTCGTTTTCAAGTTTTTGCCTATAATAAAAGAAATAAAATTGCCTCGAACGTCATCGTGAACCGACAGTCGTCCGATCGCGTTTAATTAAGTGCGGAAGTTCTGATATCGACGTCGCACAAACGTTTTAGGAAGAGTCGTTCCTACGATCGCGCGACACGAAAAAGTCTATAATAAACTGCATTTTAAACGAGCTGAGAACAATGTCACCCAGCGTGATCTCGATCGATCAATCCTGATCAATCGCCAGTACACCAACGATAACTGCCATTCAAATGGAACCACCAATGAAAATCAAAGAGAGTAATCTGCAAAACGCGGGGGAGTCTTTACTGATTTTTATATTTTGTCTTATACAGAGCGCCGGTCAAAAATCTGCCATCATTTATTATAAACGTATAATATATAAAAAATAAATTATACTTTATAAGAGATGACATATAAATATTTTTAAGCATCTACATATAGTAACACACAAGCAAAAATATTTTTAGATCTTTATTTTATTAGAAAATTAGTTATAATTTTAGTGAACTGTTAATTCCGTCTTTTGAATTTTAATAATAAAAAAAGTTAATATTAATAAGTCCTTTTTGAAAAGAATTTGTTATATCTTCAAAATATTTAACTTCAAATGCCTTATAATCAATTCTCCAGAAGTGAAATTCTGAGAAAATAAATTTTACTTTAAAATATTTAAATTATTTGTACAATTAAAAACTTGTTATTGTCTAGACATTTTATCCTAGAAAATTAAGATCTAAATGTTAGAAGGATATTTAGATCTTTTATTTTATTTTTATTTCAACATGCAGGATAATTCGTGATTATATATCAGTATTTTAGGAAGTAAATCTCTAAAGTCAAGATAAAAAAAATTTATGTGAATACTCGTATAAAATTATTAGATATTTTTTTTAATATTATAAATATGTAGTTATAATACAAATACACATGTGTCATTATAATTATATTATTCCATTTTAAATAATATTGTAAAATATCTAATAATTATTATATATAATATATGCATATATTTTTTCTGAACTCTATAAATTCATTGCCTAAAATATTAATACAAACAATTAGGAATCACTCTGCTTGATCTTGGATTTTTGACCGGCGTTACGGAGAAGAAATGATCTTATCAAGGGTTTTCTCTCCCTTTTCGTAGCGTTTTTCCAAAACATACAGTACCATCCCCCCAAATAAAAGATTACTTTTATTGTCCGATTAGATACGTAAGTGCTCCCGCTCGAGCGTGTGTACGACGAATTTTGTCATTTTTGATAGTTTGCTATGTACATAAGAGTCTCTTCGATTATACCGCGCGATGATTATCGTGCGGCCTGTTAAACATTTGTGAACCCGTTTTATGAGAAAGCCAACACTCGGCAAGACTGAAGCTGATGTTACACACGCTTATACACATAGAAAGAGAAACACGTAAAGAGAAATATCCAGCAGAAATATACAAAATACACGCTAGCCGAGCGATATATCTGCGGCGTCTTGCGAAATAAGCGCCCAACGTACCGATGTGGAATCAACTTGAGTAATTTTATTATAAATATTTATGTATTTATATGTGTACACATATCCTCTCCAAATAAATGTAATATGTGTTTGAAAACTTCATTTTGATAATCGCAAAACACAATTCAAGCACTTAACAAAACATGGACGAATTTGCAAAAGAAATTGCAGTATTAAGAGTTATTGACTGACGACTTATTTTATATTACTGCATAATTATTATATTGAAATAAGGATAAGAAACCCGCACATTTAAAAGTTAATGCGATATATAAAAATTAAAAAGTATAACTCATTCAGAACTTACATAAGCTAGGCAACGGTATAAGTTGTCAATATTAATAAATTAAACGACCCCTTATCACAAATAATCGTAAAAAATTATTTATACTAGCATTGCGGATTGTTAAAAGACGTAGAGCCTATTGCAAGTATCTTTATTACTTACTTCTTTTTATAATAATCATAACGCAATCCGCGTTCATAAATCTATACAATAAGGATATTAGGAAAACGCAACAAGATACGCATATAGCATAATGCATTTCCTCAACTTGCTACAGCAAATACTCTCACTCGATTCATCTAAGAAAAAAAGCCGTTAATTGTCACACCTGGCATGCAACCATGATAGACAATATACCATGGTATTTCTTCGTAAAATTAAATAATTAAAACAGTTCCATTGCTGATATTCAATATTCAATATTCAAATACAATTGCTTTAATACAATTGTTAAAATTATTTGGCTTGCTTCATCACAATCGGAATCAATACTTTTGATATTTCTATGCGGCCATATTAATACGTATTGTAATGTATATTGACCAGGATTGGCAACGTTACCCCATAAAAATAACTCGTTACCGTTACCGTTCTTTTTCCCCAAAAGTAACTCGTTATCGTTACCGATACTCAAAATGTAACGAATCGTTACTTTTTCGTTACCTTTTTTGCTTGATGCTAACAAAAATATTATAACGTTTTTCATTGGCAAAACTCAGTGCACATTAAAAAAGTTGTACACTATTCTAATCTGAATGTAAAAATGAAATATCTCGATTGATATAATGTCCAAAGGGCATTTTATCTAATTTAAAAATTTTCAATACATTTTATTATGCTATTTTATTAAATAGCATAATAAAATATATTGAAGACTTTTTTCGCGGTTTTTATCGCGTTTCTATATTTTTATTAAACATACACATTTGCGTCGATTTGTGTGTACGGATTTAAATTGCATCGAGTGCGTACTAATTCTGTCAATGAAAAACGCTACTATATGTAGATTTTTGCGATAAATATTCTGAAGAGAAATCAGAATTTTATCTTTTAATAGAGGAATAAAGCTCAAAAACTGATATATATGTATATAATATTTATACACGGTTTAGTTACATCTAAAACTCTGTGACAGTTGCTAGAAATAAAGTAACGATAAAATAACTAGTGAAATCGTTACCATGACCCCAAAAATGTAACTGCGTTACAATGAACGTTACTCGGAAGAAAATGTAATGTTATAACCCATTCGTTATCGAAAAAAGTAACTTGTAACGATAACGACGTTACAAATAACGCGTTACTTGCCAACTCTGATATTGACTTAATATATATTATAATTTAAATTATAAAGTATATTATATATAAATATAAATTATAATATAAATTAATATATATTATAATATATATTAATACGATACACGCGTGAAATGCAAAAATTATTATTACTATTGATCCCTTTATCTCGTACAAATGTGATGAAATCGTTATTCTAAATTCATGTATTTAATCCCTTATTATGTAATCGTGAAGCTAAGTTTTAGAAAGAAAAAATATCGCATTTAATGATTTTTCGATTAGTATTCTCAAGGATCCAAAAAGTTTTACGTTGTGTTTAGGAAGAAAGTATTCTGTATAGTAAATTAAGAGTATATTTTCTAGGGAAAAGATACTTTGGAATTCTCTCATCTAGATTTCTTAATTTCTGGCATAGATGCTTTCGCAAGCTCAATTCGATCTTTTATTCGACGTCGTTAACTTGCAATATTCTGTTTATTTGGCTACAATTGGCATTAGCCTAATAACATAATTATAAATTATATACAAATAATATTACATAAATTCATCCAACAGATTGTGCATACATAACCGGTACGGTTACTCAACAAATGTTCCACGCTAAGTTATGTTTCTGTTCAAAATATTACAGTAACAAGGAAGGTAATACTTAGCATGGATGGAAAAATACAAATAGAGTAATCTCTCTTTTAGATCATTGTATAAAAATGAAGGATATATTTTCATGTAAAAGTATTCAAGTTATGCGTGATATTTACTGTTCGTTACTTTCCTTATTTCTTGCACAAATATGACTAGCTCTCTACAGCTGTCTCCAGATTGTTATGGCCGCTTGCGTTGTTCTAACATATGATATCGTGCCAAACTTACGATAATTTAATTTCATAGAAACAATAATTGTTTTAATCAGTTATTATTATACAAATTATATATATAAGATTCAGCACCTTCTTTTGCTCTCGGAAGTCTTGTTTAAAAAATATTCTTACAAACGTACTTTAAGGCATCATTGCAAAAATAAAAAATCTAAGCAACGCTATTCTTACATTACAATATAGCTAAATTAAACCTGGATTTGAAATGCTTACTTGTAATAATGAATAATTACAAGTCAAAGCTCATACAAATAGAGATGAGCTTTTGCTCCGACAGAGGTAAAGTATTTATATAAAAGACGAACAAACAGTGACATTTGTTCTGGAGAAGAGAATTTAACTGACCATTGCTCCGAGTATCTAATATGGAAATGGGAAATACATCTTTTATCATACATCGTGTTTTAGAAATGGTTTTAATTAGTAATTTGATTCGGTTAGAAATTCTTAGGAATTATTTTTCAATTATTCCGTGTCAGCAACTTCTCTCCTAAGGCATGCACGATCCTCAAACGATTTGTAATCCATGACGATACTGATTGCTATTCCAACGCGCACAATCACAGATTTTTGACGTAGCGAAGACATTCTGCGGCACCGCTGTGTTCCCTGTCTCCCAACTCTGACAGAGTCTAGACACGCTTCCGTTACATTCGTAATAACACTCCACAATGCGCGTCATGCTTTTTGTAGATCACATGGGAGCGTAATCGAGTTGGACCGTGAGATGTCTAACGCCCGCCGCATGGAAAATCTTTTGCGTTGTTATCACGACAGATTTGGGATCTACTTCTCTCGCCACCTCCAGTTTCAAACATCCAATGTACACATCCGAGCACAGAGTCCAAAAGTGCGGTTCCTGCACACTGTAAACGCCAGGTATCTGTGTTACCTTATTGTAACACTGCGATAGAACATGATCCAGAGCTACCGGTTGTCTCTGCATAAGTATCTCCCATGACTCTTTCATCAATGAGATTACACTTAAAACTATCAATACTGCTATGAGCATAGAGCATATCGGATCGGCAATCATCCAGCCAAACATTTGCATCAGTACTGCCGATATGATAACTCCCACGGAGCCGAGAGTGTCTGCGAGTATGTGCAGGAATACGCCCTTCATGATTTGCGAGTTCGTACCATTGAAGGACGTTTCCATCTCGACATGATGGTCATAATTATGATTTAAGAGAGAGTAGTCATGATTCTGAGAATGAGAGTGACCGTGGTGTCCCCTTCCGCCATGACTATGACCATGGCTATGGCTATGACTATGTCCATGTCCGTGCCCATGTTTAAATGCACATATCCCTACTAAATTCACTATCAATCCCAACACAGAGACAACAAAGAGCCTCTCATGTTTAATTTCTGGTGGCTCGATGGCTCGTTCCACTGCCTCCGACATGATAAATAAGGCTATAAACAATAGGAGCAGTCCGTTCACGAAGCCGCCTAACACTTCGGCTCTAACGTATCCATATGAGTATCTGTCGTTTGCCCTCCACTTGGTGATGACAGATGCCGCTAAACCAAATAGCAGGCCAGTGCAGTCAAAGAACATGTGGAAACTGTCGGAGATGAGACCGAGACTGTTGGTCCACATCCCATATAGCAGCTCGACGCAGGCAAAGGACAAGTTGAGAATCAGGAACAAAAACAAGTTACGGGTGTTCGGGTCGGAGAAGATGAGACGTTTCCAACTCAGCAGCTTCTCCTTGATCCTACTTCGGAAGTTGGAACGTGAGTCGCGTGGACTGTGAGAAAGGGGCAGCATCTTGGAATCACACTGATCCTACAGGCGTGAATCTGTCCTAAAGAGAAAATTTAATGTTATGACAAGATGGATCAAAAAGTGAATAAAAGCAAACATCAATATCAAAATAAAATAAAGGCAACATTTCGGTATTAAAATAAAACAAAAACAAATCAAGTACAAATCAGTATCAAATTAAGTAAAGTTTCTATATTAAAATAAAACAAAAATATCAAAGTAAAGCTTCAGTATTAAAAAAATATAACAATGACACCAAGGCAAAGCTTCGATAATAATGCAAAAGCATTAAAATAAAGCTTTGCTAAAGCAGAGACATTCTGAATATAGTCGTGCCTTTTTTCTCAGAAATCATTGATACTTTTCACAACCTAAACAGCAAAATGACTCTATATTTTCATAAACGTGTATAGCTATATATGTATATATGTTGCCATAAGATATGCCGCTTTTGAGGTAATTATCCAGAAATCACGTAAATTCTTAAATTAAGAGCAGACGCACATCTGTCTTAACAAAGTAGTCAAAGATTCTGGAGTTTCTTCTGCAACACCAGGCACAAAGAGACAAAGCGTAGCAATTAATCAGACCAGTCGACATACGGTAGTATCGTGTCCCAGCTGTTTGACACGCGTCAAGTTCCATTAATTGGAGCAACACGTACAAACATGTGCGTGTATACATACGTACACGCGCGGCCACGTCCAACATCCAGGATGCCCTAACCTAACTTAACCTAATTCGCGCCCCGTGCGAGACTCACCTGTCGTGCTGCCAAGTCCGTCCCGTCGATGTCAATCCGCTGTCCCGTACTGCATGCCGGCTGTCAGAGGTGCAAAGAACTGGATCGCGCGCGGTAAGAGGGTGCACTGTGGAAGAGCGTGGCCATGCCGCGTGGTCCCGGGCGATCGGTTGGTGAACGGGAGGAACGAGAGCCGGCCGCGTCGCAAACGGGAACGGACGCGCGAAGTGAAATTCGACTATGACAGTCGACGTTTCCCCTCGTGACTTTCAATACCGACGTCGACTCGTCTGGTCTCCCCGTAATACGTCCACGTCGCCGCGACTTCGAACAACGTAGTTGCTAGATTCGGGCCGGGAAGATCGGCGTAGATGGCGCCGCAATCGCTATCGCCAGCGGAAGTGACGTCGCACGTCATGGCGCACAGTCTCCTTCCCTTTTCTTTTTCACGCGACAGTCACCATGGTAAGTTCACGTGTTAATTGTACGACGTTTTTAATGCAATCCTATAAAAGATCCATAAATATTACGTAGTGTACGAAAACCTCATAAGAAATGGTAAATTTTTATTAGATTGCAAGTTACGCGTCGGGTGCACCTTGTTTATGTATGAAGAGCGTTTCTTGTTGTCATCGGATCCTCCACGTTGCTGCAGCAAATTTAATTTCCCTGCTTTTTTAATTTGATAATGATATAATATTTAACACTGAAAACAAGATAACGATTCAATGTATTCAAAAATTATACTGAAATAACAGCTAGAGATTATCACATCAATAACATAACCTGTCTTTTTTTTCTTGATTCATGCTTGAAACGAAGCCTGTCTGTTGATATTTTTGTAAATTCTAAACTGTTTTTTTGCAAATTTGAATGCAAATGCGATGCAACATATGTCGTTCTCTTTCTTCGGTCTCTCTTTGGGTTTTAAATATTACATTCATGGGCTATATTCAGAGGTCTGTTCTTAGCTGAAAGTTTTGTATAGTTCACCTTTTCTCTTTCTCTTCAATATGAAAAGAAAATAAGATATAAGTTGTGCAAGAAGTTCAGCTAAAGAGAACTGGCTCAGATAGAGTTATTACTATAGTACTATTACCAGGGCTGGCATATATTTAAAATACTTTTATTTGAGAAACAGTGTAATATAATTGTATTTTGTATTTCAAATATTAAGATTGGCAATCTTATTATTTGAATTACTAAATACAAAATATTTTGAATCTTTTGATTTGAGATACAAAGAAAGCACTAAAGAAGTAACACGTTCAAACGATATTTAAAATAATTCAGACAATACATCTCCAAAATATTAAAGAGATCTTTTTGTTTTATGGATATGTATAGATCTATATTTTTTGTAAAATTTGATGACCAGCTATTTTCTAGATAAATACTATGACAGTAAAATACTGATTTAATGAGTCTGACCGTAACTTTTGGATACAATCAAATTTTATCTTTCTACGAACATGTCTTATGTTTGATCTGTTATTACAGCCGCCTAAAAAGGATACGAAAAGTTCCTCTAAACAGCCTCAGAAAACCCAGAAGAAGAAGGAGGGTGGATCTGGTGGAAAGGCCAAGAAGAAGGTTTGTGCATCCCCTCATTATAATGCTCGTGATGAATAATTTCAAGCAGTTAATCTCATTTGATGTCCATTTTTCAACTTGAACAACTGTGGAAGTAAAAACTGATTTAATGAGTCTGATGAGATTTGATTAGATTTTTTTCTTGTTATTTTTAATGTGACGTTAAAATCGTTTTGATATAATGTTTTTTCTCTTCATATTCTTGCAGAAGTGGTCCAAAGGAAAAGTACGTGATAAGTTAAACAATCAAGTACTCTTTGACAAACCCACATATGAGAAGCTGTTGAAAGAAGTACCGCAATACAAATTGATTACTCCGTCGATTGTTAGCGAAAGGTTAAAAATTAGGGGATCTCTCGCAAGACGGGCACTGATAGAACTTCAGCAGAAAGGCTTGATCAAGCAAGTCGTGCAGCATCATGCACAACTTATCTATACACGTACTACTAAGGGAGATGACCCAGCAGTGTAATATGTAAACATCAATTTAATAAAAAAAAATTTAAAGCCAAGATGTAATTCTCTATTCTTCTAAACATGTTTATAATCTATTAACTCTCTCTCTCTCTCTCTCTCTCTCTCTAATTGGTTTTTATAATTGCAAATATTTGATGATAAAATTTATTTCATTATTAATTAAAAATATTTTATGTATGCTAATGCATGTATTACATAGTTTAAAAGTTAGTTAAAAAATCAATAAAAGCCCATAATAAAAGAATTATTTCATTCTTGAACACTTCAAATAAAATGGACTGCAATTTTTTTTATAGTCGCGTTGAAAAATCAAATTTTTTGCACAATACATTGTAATAAATTAATTTGTTGGAATCTTTTTATTTACATTTAACGTGATGGATCGACAAATTATATTAAAAGTCGAAATTTTTTTTATTACTATACATTAGTAAATGCACGTATAATTCCATCTACATATTTCTTTTTATCACACCATCCACCACATCTCCAATAAAAATGGATAAAGGATTAATAATTATATTTTCATGAATCAAAGTCTTCGTCTTTTTATCAATTATTTTGTGAATACCAATTTGTCAAACTTGCAAAAAATTATTTTGACATATATTGCAAGAAAAAGAAAGTAACATGTTTCTTATTTTTGATGACATAATTCAAGATGGCTGTAAGAAGGAAATATATAGGAATTCTCTCTAAGCGAGTTAGGAAGCAGGATTTGATTTTTTAATCGTTATAAAAAATGTTACAAAAAGGTAGAAAAGTTATATCTAAATAAATTTATCATTTTATTACATTTTAGTGTAACATAAAAAATAAGTTTTATATCAAAGAACAGTATTAATACATATAATTTGATGATTTTATTTATAGACAATTTATAGCAGGAAAAAATTAGTAGAAAATAAAACTTAACTAGAAATGAATTTGATAAATTGTTCAACTTATTCTAAAACAATTCAACCATACAAAACTCGTTCAACAAACATCTACTATTTTCTGCTTTATTTATAGTGTCCATATTTTTTATCATACAGAATATTCTCCACGTTAACTCTGAGATATTTTTATTGAAATGTTTAACTCCCTGATTTGAGACTTGATATTTTAGGATACGTATTTGCATTTCGGGGATAACATTTTATTGCATCCGCTCAATGTACGCGTAATTTGTGTTCTGTAATTCCCTATTTTTAAGCGGGTAATTACTATTGGTGCTTTCAACAAGCGACACAGTATGATACAGTTGATCGTGTCATTTTCGTTTAACATTGGCAAACAACAAGGGTGTAATGTTACTGTGTTACACTGTATCATCTGTGTCTTTTGCTGGAAAGCATCCTATTTCTATTTTCAATATCACAGTATCTTATCTATCGTCAAACATAGTTATCTAAGTCAGGTAATCGATTTGTATGCGTATGCCATTGATCATTAGCGTTGTGCTTTCGATTTTTGAATAATTCCGGTTTAGAATCGATTAGATTTTGTATCTTACACAAATCTATACTAACTTTGAGACAAAATTCCTTATTTTTGGTCCTAGTCTCACCATTATGACGTACAGTATTTTCTTGAAACGCTATGCATTGAATGAACTTTTTAGAATTGCAAGCATCGATCTGTTTATTTAGAATACTATGTTCATTAAACTTTGTAGTATTTGAGACACGCGTGACGTTCCAGTTATTAATCTTCGAACTGACGTTCGTACTATTTAAATTTTTTAAACTGTTCTGTGATGTCGGAGAATCGTCTGTATGATCATTATCAATTTTATCGCTATCAGTATGTTGACTCAGAATAGTGATATCATTTTGCGATATTTTCTCCATGTTTTTATTCATATTAACAACATTTAAATCAAAATCAACACTGTGTATTATTCTATTAGTTTCCTTGAAAAATAGTTGAGCCCTGGACCTTTCTTCTGTATGCACAGAAATTACATTATGCATGGACGCTTTATGTTGCTGTACAGTTTCTAAACCAACTCGTGAATCTTGGTTGCAATTGTTCGAAATAAGCGATACACTATCCACAACACTATCTACATTCGTATTGCAAATTTTTCGATTTAATACACTTACATTAGTATCACTTGAAACGAGACATGTCTCACTGTCATTCTCGTCTCTAAAACGGTTGTTCATTGCGCTATCAACATTACTTGTTGAATTTACATTATCTAATGTATTATTATGTGGTAGAGAGAGTACTGTAGATCTGATTGGATTTAAATTCTCTTTAGCATCATCTCGACTATGCACTATGTACGTTTTGTCATTAATTAAAAGATTTTCATTCTTCAAAGAGCGAAAAAGCTTGTCGGAACATTGTCTCTCAGTTGCGATATTGTCGATATAATCTGAACTGCACGAAGCTTCACGAGATGCAATGGTAGATATTTCTTTTGCCTCCCGCGGTGCAGCTATGCCTGCTAATCTCTTACTTTCCTTGAGGTTTTTCATTGAGATATTTACAGAGAACGTATCGTATAAAGTCATCTAAGCAAAAAAATATAATTAAATTAATGCATGACAAAAATTGGTAAATGAAACCTAAGACAATTTCAAATCATAGGCAAGGAACAGGAAACAACAGATTTCAAAAATCGTGTATATCAGAATATATAGTTCTTGATAGGTTGAATCTGTGTTCTTGCTTCTCAATTGTATCTCAAGTTTTATTGTTTGTTGGTATCGATAAAATTTATTAAAACATACTTGAATATTGTTCGATGCGCAAACTCGAAATTTCAAGTCCTGTAGGTTCACGTAACGCGGTATCAGTCCAGGTCGATGACATGTGGTATGGTTGTTGGTGATTTGTGGGAAGACGCTGCAGGTTGCGATAGATCTTTGAGGGGCAATGGTTTGTTTGTCGAAGACACTATACAGTAATAAATTAATATTAATGCACAAAAGATTTCATCATTCATAGATAGAATTCAATTTTCACTCTTTTTCATCGTGCTGACTTGTCAATAACTTATACCCAGAGAAAAGTTTCTTCGATTTGAATGTTATTTCTTGAAATTATAATTTAAGTAAATATAATGTAATGATATAATGAATATAATGTAAATAAATATAATGTAAATTGTATAATATAAGTAAATTATAAAGATATATAAATTGAAAAAATCATTTCTTTCATTGATTTTTTAAGTTGAAGTAAAAATACCTTTGAGGAAAATTAACTCAAAGGTATTTTTACTTCAACTTAAAAAATCAACGAAAAAAACGATTTTTTCAATTTATATAACTTTTTTCTAGGTGTACAAACAACTTACAACAGGGACCGAAGTTGGACACTTAAAAATGTACTCACCTGTGCGTGCAATAATTTGGTGGGTCATCCTTCTTATATTTGGTAGATTCAGTCTCAACAGGTCTGGTGCCTGCATCCCCGTCACACTGTTAGAATCGCAAGATATACACTGGAGAGGAGGTACGGGGAAACCGATTTACAACAACATGTACTCCCCGCACCGTGTTTCTCACCAGAATATATTTCTACTTTACTCAATTAAAAACGCGGTATTTTCATGAAAATTTATTGTACAAAAATATTTTAACTAATTTAATTGTAACTAAGTTAATTGTACTAATAATGATATTTACCCGAAAGTTTGTTTTATATACATTTTATAAATATTTCTAAAATATTTTTAGTTTTCGGCTGGATATTTAATATAATAATTGTTGAAGTTCTTGAATTACTTACGTAGGTCTTGTTTGTGGAAATATTCTCAATACTGGATGTACTAGCAGGTACATCTTTCTTCGATGCAGCTTCTTGTTGATTTACTGTTACTATTCGTTTGTCGTTCAGAATAGGCGCAGTTACATTAGTCATTACTGGTTGATTTACAAGCAGAGTTGGGTTACTAAGCACAGTGATATTATCTGTCACACGGGGTAGAATTACACTACTCGATGGTATAGCATACAAGTTTGTTTCATTTCTTCCAACATTTTGATTAATTGCCGTAAAATTTTGGTTAGGTATTTGTTGTAGATAATAACTACCAATTGGCAATAAAACTGAATTATTCTTGGTGAAAGTCACAAATTCTGTCGTATTTGCTTGTGTGACACGGTTTTCGTTCCTCTGGTTTAGATTAACACGTACACCGTTTCCTTCCAAATTTGATAAAATTTGATTCATATGTTGTACATCATTCGCCTTATGAATTTGTATATAATTGTGTTGTGAAGATAAATTATTTGGTTGATTATTACTTAACAGTGGATTGAAAGTGTTTGCAGATACATTGCATTTTGAAGGCTTTTTATCATTTTGGTCAATCTCATTGAACTTGTTTGCAGATATTCTTTCACTTTGTTGCCTATCTGTATTATTTATACTATTTTTTGCATCATTTTGAATATTATTTGTCTCATTTCTATAAGGTACTATAACACTGGCTCGAGAACACGTTTCGTACGATCTTTCATCGAAACTATTTCTTTTGATCTTCTTGCAATTGTTATTAATGTTACTCGCTGAAAAATATAACATAATGTTATCAATCATAGTACAACCATGATATATAAACTTTTCCTTTCCATAAATTACCTTCGTGCATGCTACGCTTCGACGAGACAGGAGTGATGAGTTGCTCTAATGTTTTATTTACAGAAGGAGGCGAGGTATCAGTGGTATTCGTATGTAGTGTGATGTCACATATATCAGGTACGCTTTCGAACACTTCACGTGGCAGAGAAACAACATTAGTAATTTTGATATTCATAAATGATGATTCGCTTGTTTCTTCCGTGTCTGTTTTCACATTGTTTGAAGTAACTAGACCTAACGTAGATTCTTGTGATGTAACTACATCGTCCTTGGAGATGGTAAATTCGTTTTTCTTCGAAGCTTCTCTCTCTGATGCAATAAGTTTTGGTAAATCAATATGATCTTTTTCTAATAAATCAATTGTCGCTACACTTTGGCTCTTAGATGCCGCTGTTGCATCTAACTTTTTCGATGTTGATGTGCTAGGAAGACACGAACTGCCACGAACTGCTTGTGTAGGTTGCTTTATGTGTACAGGTGAAAGATTCGTTTTTTGTGTTAATGTAATAAGCTGTAATAAAAGCAAATTAAATCAATAAATTTATGATAATCTATATGATTTTGTTTAACGAAAATTCGGTGCTTTTAATCATAAACTTATTATAAAAGCATAGTTCAAATTTAAAAAATCTCCCTCTTTCCATGTATTCTAATTAATTAATCATTTACCTCCACATCATCATCATCGCTTTCAATTATGATAACATTCGTCTTCTTCTGAATCGGCTGCAATTTTTCATCATTTTTGCTGAACAACTGTTTTTCTTTCTGGGAGCCACCTTTCTTACTTCCTCGCTGAAGAATATTTTCTTTACTTTCCTTACTTTCCTTACTTTCCTTACTTTCCTTACTTTTCTTACTTTCTTTACTTTCCTTACTTTCTTTACTTGTCGATGGCTCTTCCTTCTCATCGTCATTTTTTGATAAGGATTCATATTTTGACAATGATTCATTCTTCGTACTAGTTTCAATAGCAGCTATATTCTTTTCAAGCACGGTATTTGTTAAGTCCAACCTGCTAAGTAAAATAGTACATTACATAGAGGCAAATGTCCTATAAAATTGAAATATTTTCTATTGTTATCATAATCTATTATCGTTCTTATTATCAACCATTGGCCTAGCTTGATCATTTGCTGTTGTAACTTAAAAGAACGTGGTCCAGGTCGTAAATTAATGCTATCCAGAATAGACTCCAAGGAAGAGGTGGAAGATGAATCGGTTAAGGCGCACGGTATAGGGAAGTCAGTTCCCACAGAGATATCTGTATCACTATCCAAATCTGAATCTGAGTCTGAATTTAAATCTGAATCAGAATCCCTATTCTGACTAGTACTAAAAGAAAGAAAAAAAAGGTATATAGATTAGACATGCTGTTAAATGTGCAAGATGTTATTTGTTCAATTATAAAAGTTCAAAATAAACATTTTAGGAATTTTCTACCATTTGTAAGATTAAAAAATAGACATGATGCATACCTGCCTATTGCAGAACTGTTGCCTAGTCTTACACGATCATTACCTTTATAAAAAAAAAAAATACGTAAGACAAATGTCATAATTACATGTATCTCTTTTACGACATGCTTACTTAATATGGATGTACATTCTTCGCATTCCCACACCGGATTAGCCCACTTCAACTGCCCGCAAGACATATGGATACCTTGCGAACCGCAAGTACGACATAGAGCCAATTCCCATTTACTATATATTTCAAAAATATTTTATGTTTCTTGTATAGCTTTAATATCGTTATAAGCAACTATTACTTACGCGTTATTACTTGTATACTTCCTTCCCTTTGGACAAAGACATTTCGGTGCATCGCACTGATCATGCCTATACAAAAGCTCTTCAAATGCATTTGGTACCAATTCCCATGAAGCATCTCTAATTATATAAAAAAAATTCTTATATGCCGTTATGTACTTTATATGCTCTTGCACTGTATATACAGTGATGGGAGAAAGTTCGGCAACGGTCAAATATCTTGAAAAATAATGATTATGGAAAAAAATGTTCAATACAAAAGTTTTAGTAGATCAAGTGGTCTATTATACGGTTATATTGAAATGACCTTCATGTGACCTTGAAGGACACCGTGAGGTCAATTTTGAAATCTTAAATGGAAACATCTATTTTCTTTTTTTATCTAAGGTGTACCGCGTGGAGGTAGTATCGATGAAGAAGTACGATAGTCCATACTATTAAAATCGATTCATTATCTTCATGACTACTTTTGGATAATTAAAACTGTTCAATAACACATCCTCGTCGCGATACATCGTTGGTAGGATAAATCTTACTTTTTGTCCTTTTGTAGCTTAAGTGAATCAAACTGTTCGATCACTTAATTGACCGCCTTTGGATAATTAAAAACAAGAGTTATCGTCCTTCTTGATTTCTCAGATTTTCTTTAATTATACGACTAAGCCAAGAAGGACGATAACTCTTGTTTTTAATTATCCAAAGGCGGTCAATTAAGTGATCGAACAGTTTGATTCACTTAAGCTACAAAAGGACAAAAAGTAAGATTTATCCTACCAACGATGTATCGCGACGAGGATGTGTTATTGAACAGTTTTAATTATCCAAAAGTAGTCATGAAGATAATGAATCAATTTTAATAGTATGGACTATCGTACTTCTTCATCGATACTACCTCCACGCGGTACACCTTAGATAACGCGCCGGCGATACTTAAACTTTAAAGGTTCGTAACTCAGGAAGATCTCAAGCAAAAAGGGTTTGTAACCAGTGTTTCGGAAACGTCTTGACACCAGCTTTAAGAATATGTAAAAGAAAATAGGTGTTTCCATTTAAGATTTCAAAGTTGACCTTCACGGTGTCCTTCAAGGTCACATGAAGGTCATTTCAATATAACCGTATAATAGACCACTTGATATACTAAAACTTTTGTATAGAACATTTTTTTCCATAATCATTATTTTTCAAGATATTTGACCGTTGCCGAACTTTCTCCCATCACTGTATAATGGATATAACAGTATATAACAGTAAATATCAATCCAAAAGTAATTTCTACGTGTTTCTAACTTACACCAACAACTGAGTTTACAAAACTTAACAAGTTGCAAAGAAAAAATAAAGAATGATTACTGAATTTTGTTTTGCCATACTTACTGACTTGGCACAAAAATTCCGTATTCTAACATAGCTTTTTGAAAGTCTTTTTTATTGTTACATAAGGGACACTTGAAAAAATATCCTGCACTCAACGCAAGTTGCTGAAAAATGAGAGATTGTCTTGGATATATAAATCTGTATTCATATTAAAAAAATATTACGCATAAAGCCATATTAAGACTAACCTGAACACAAGTGCGATGAAACCATGCATCTTTTTTACAGCAGGGAGCCCATAACGTTTTCACAAAGTCATTAGTGTTAACTTTATCATAACAAATATAACATAATACATCTACTGAGGCAGCCTGCTTTAGAACCTGTTTATCAATCTTTTGTTTTGGCCTATGGTTTATGCAGTACGATCTGAAACATTCCAAATAAATTATTCGATGATCACCGTAATCGCAATCGTCGTGCATCGATCATTCAATTTGGTATTTTTCTCTCACCTAAATTCACCGAAAAACTGATGCAGAGAACCAGCTTTCATGCCACAAGGAAAATGAAAGATCCGTTTGCATCTTATGTTACAACAACCTAAAGTAGCACCTTGCTTTCTGCAGTATGAGCATACCTAAAATCATTAAAATCTCATTCATTAGTTTATTAAGTTTAACAAGCACAAATATAATTGTGAAATACTCAACTCATAAGAAAAACATTTTTTATGTGTTAAAGGAATATGAGATCCACTATTAATTTTATTTACTTACAAAATTATAACTTAAACTTATATATAAGGACAGACCCCCCCCCCAAGTCGAAATTCAAAAAATTATGAAACTTTGGCAATAGAAACTGGTGCTTTCCATTTAGTGAAACAAGTCAACACAAGTATCGTTCTTATCTTTATTATGGATTGCAAAGAAAAATAGAATGTTTGTGTTGACATGTGTCATTAAATAGAAAGCACCCATATGATACTTTTAATATATGTACCAATCTCTTTCCCCTGCGAAGTTCCTTTTGTATATCTTCAGTAAGAAATCCAAGGATGCCTTCGTTATCATTTCCTTTCTGCTCCATGTTCGAGGACAAGAGCTGAAAAAAAATTTGTATGATCAATGTCCATTTCCATCAATGTAGATTAACTTTAATCTAGGTTCAACTTAGGGCCTCCTTTATCAACTCTGATTAATGTCAATCGATGGTTGACTTAACTGCCAACGTGAGAACTAAATACAGTTTGTCTTAAAAAATACATTAAACTGCTGTTGACTTCTGCGAGTCGATCATCGATTGATTTAATCAGAAGTTGGTGAAAGAGGCTCTTAATGGTTCATCTTTTTCTAATTCTAAAAATTAGAAAAAGATGAACAGTAAGTTGAATTAAGATTAAAGTTAATCTATATGGTGAAAATGGACATATAAGTAGACAAAAAACAATAATTTTTAAAACATTTCTATCTCTCTAGTGTTTGTCTCAAAGTCTGTTTTTTCTATAGCTGAATTAGTATACACTCTTGACTAGTATACTCTTAGGTGTAGGTTTGTTTAATATTTAGTGAATGAAAGTTCTGTAACAAAACACAGGCATCTTTTATGGCCATTCTACAATAAATCATTAGTCATAAATCAGAAGTTAGAAGTTGGAAATTGACCAATCACAATCGTCAATTTTCAGCTTCTAACTTCTGATTTATGACTAATCTCTTGACTTATTGTAGAATGGCCATTAAGCTGATTCTATAATGAGTAGGCAGTCGGTAGTCCTAAGTCTTATCAATGAATCGGTAGAGTTGACCAACAGCCAACTCGTACGACTAAAACTACCGATTTTCTTAAGACTGATCAAATTCGACTTTATTCCTTCCCATTAATCGAGCTAAACGACTTGCTGTACAACTAGTAGATGCAAAAAATCATAATCACATGTTTAGGTTAAAACCGGTTAAGACTTAAGATTTCTGACTACTGACTCATTGTAGAATCAGCATTAAATCTAGATATCTTTTGAACATATTCATGGAAATAGAGATCAGATAGACCAACATCTTGATGTATTCAAGATTATTATTGCAATGTCAAAAACTTACCAAACAATAATAGTGGGTGACAATCCCATTGTGCTCGTAGATTTTTCCATATTCCAGCTCATTATCCTCGGCCAAATTGCAGAAGGAACAGATCTTAGAAGAGGATGACATATTCTTGGAGGACATTGTATTTAAATGACAGAAGCAGAAGCTCGCGAACAGTCACAGCTAGGGAACGACGATCGACCGAGGTAACAAGCTCGAGCATCTCACTGTCACAACAGAATCTACGAACCGTGTCTGTGACACGGACACGACATAATTATGCTGCAAATAACGGTTTGATACACTTATCTAGCAGATCTAATGGAGATGAAGATAGTTCCAATAGTGTTCACCTCGTAAACGCATCGTCGTACATGGCATACATGCAGCAATTATACTATGAAAGAAGGTCGCAAGGATGTGATTTCTTTTCGGAATTGCTCAAAATTTTCAAAATCGTTGAGCTATTCACATGGAAGGGGGAGGGGGGGACAAAAACGAGAGTCACAAACAAAAGCGCCTTGAATCTGAATCGTTAATACCGTTCCAATAAGTTCCAATGCCGCTGCAGGAACAATGATCGAGGCACTTTAATGTGAACTACCATTACTAACCACTACAGTAATTTGATGTCCCTCTGCTCTTATCAGGATTCATACAAGTTTCGCGACTTATCAGCGAGAAAAGTCGTCCTTTCCTCAGATTTTCGTCTCATTTACATGCGACCACATGGGGCAACGATCTTTTAAATACTTATAATTGTTGTTAGTCCCGTGACGTGGACCAACTTATATCAATTTACTTCCATTTGGAGGGAAAACGAAGCTGTTGATTGCTCATCACTGATTGGTTGCGACGAAGCAGCTGTGAAAAATACGCATTTCTCATTTGTTGTCTCGCGAATCAACAACCAATCGCATATCCGTTCTTTATATGAAAACAGCATTTTATAAATTTTCGTTACTATTTGTGAACCCGATAGTTTTGCAATAGAGTTTTGCAATAACGTGAATTCAAATACGGTGAACGCTAAAGTCACATTCTTTTTCTCAATTAATTGTTAAAAAGAAGATAACGTGACTTTAGCGTCACCGTATCTGGATGAATGGTATTGCAAAAATTCCCTAATTATAATATTGACATTTCGACTGTCAATAGGTCTGTTCGCGTTGCATGAAATCCCCAAATATTTTTGCACTTAAAATGAGAGATATTATTTGGCCTTGAAAAGAGAGAAAGCAAAGATGCCGAGTGCCAAAAGTGCAAGCAAGGCGAACAGACCTAATGTGTTTACCGATTGACAAGTTTTTTACCTTTTTTTCCAACCGTTGAAATAAATATAAATATTAATTTCAAAATTAAATAATAATTAAATAATAACTATTGATTAAATTAATTAAATTTATAAGCATTATAATACTTATAAATAATATTGAACAAAAGTTATGCCACTTTTCAATATTACGTTTACATAGAAATTTTCCGTATTATTATTATATATTTGTTAAATTTACACTTTTTTATGTACACAAACAATGTAAAATATGTAATAGCAAAACGTAAAGAAATCAGATCAATGATCGAGTCAATTAAAATGTATAAGTTAATTATAATTAAAACATTTATTATGTAAAATCAAATCATACATTTCGTGAAACTTCTTCAGTAAAAATAAAAAACCTTAATAATTAATCATGTCACTAATATAATATTGTCGGTATAAACGCAATAAATAATGTGTAGTCGCTATTATAATATTGTCATAATGTGAAACTTGTGCTAATCTTGAGCTCCTAGTGTGTAAAATTAATGGGAATTGATAGATGACATCTTAATTGGCTCGATCATTAACCTGATTTCTTTACGTTTTGCTATTGCTTAATACGAGCGAAATCTATACTTTTACTTTTAAAATATATAAGTTATTATAAATTGGGGAACACAACACAGAAAGAAGTAATTTTCTTTATTGAATATTAATAAATAAAAATATATGAGCGAGATAACTGATATAGAAATAATGGGAATTTAATTAAAATTCATGTAGTATTCAATTTAGAATATTTAATTGTAAAAATAATTCATCACTAAGGCCTGGTTCCACCAATGTAAGATTAACTCTAATCTCGATTCAATTTGACTTTTAAAAAATTTTTTTAATTCTAAGAATAAGAAAAAGCTAAACAATAAATTATAAACCAAAATTAAAGTTACTCTTATATTGGTGGAAATGACTCTTATAGTAATTTACAATAATTAACAGCACTATTTTACAAAAAATATTTATAATTTAAATAAAATTAGAGTACTAATTCTCTTTTAATTGCGCGTGCATATTTATAGGTAAGAATTTATTTCCTTTGTAATCAATACCATTCAGCAACTGCATTTAAATCCTTGATTCCAGTAGAATTATTTCCATAAATAATACTATTCAAGTAGGAAACTTGCGCGAGCTCTTTACGAGTTTGTGCCATTCGGTATAAAACAGGACAGTCCAAAGACACGCATTCTATGTCACCCAATCGTCCAATGCAGGAATGACAGATCTAAAAAAAGTTCATTAAAATTAAATGATTATTAGCTATAATTTATAGCTTAATATAAATATTCACGTCTAAGGATACATGTTCGCATAAATCTCTTCTCTGCGTTTATGCTTACAGCAGTAATTTGTTGATGATTTTTTTCCAACTGTTTTATCTTTTCGAGAAGTATGAGGACGGTCCGGCTTGGTTGCAAAAGGCAATCTGGACAAATCTCTTTATTGGTCTGTTCCCCACAGGTAATGCACGACGCGGAACTGAAGAACTGGCAAATAGTGGACTTTGGATTGTCTCCTCCTAAGTGTGCGATATTATCGAAATTCGAACGATGGGAGATTTCTTTGTACCTGTAAATGCGGTATTTCATTATCTTCGATTACAATTCGATGAAACAGTAATTACGCGTATTATAATTATATTTAAAAGTCCGAGAGCGTATTCTTCAAGAGAGTATTCAATAGTTACATTATAGTATTTTTTTTATAATAAGAGACACAAACAAGGATTATTTGAAATACACAATATGTTTAAATCTTCAGAGCTTTCACATTTACCACGCATTAATGTCGATCCGGAATAAGTTAAAGCAGCGATTGAGGGGCGGTATGATGACTTTCGTTATGTAATACACAGAGTTCGGAATTAACGACGGATCGGCGACGACTTCCATCGGTGTGCGCACGCAATGAATGAGCGCTTGGTTTGGTGCACCTGCGACGATGACATAGCGGACGCGCTCGCTAGTGCGCGGCACAGCGCGAGGATCTTTCTTGATCAGCCTGCGTGTCAGCTCTAATGCTGGCACACAAGCGTTGGCTTTGTATCCGTGCATTCCACGAAATTCTTTTGCAAATGTAAGATCCAGGATGGATACACGTCGCTGAAAGATCTTATCAAATTGCTTGATTACGTACTGCTTTACCAGGGAGACATCCTTCGTCTCGAATAAAATTTTGAGGGCTTTTTCAAGTATCTGCAATATGCGAATATTTAATATTAAAGTTATAAGGATTTTCTTCTTAGCGCGTTTATTGTTATTTCTGTTTTTACTTTAGAAACTGCAGGACATCCATCTCTGCGAACCGTCTCGATCCCTTTAGCCAGGAACTCGGGCTTCTCCTGATCGCGAGTTTCATACATATATCCGCAATATCGCTTTTTCGTCTAAAATTTTAAATTTAACAATATAATCATGATCTTTGTTTTATATATAATAACACAGATCTGCATGGTTCTGTTAATTGGGATTTAACAATGTTTTCTTACGTAATTTTTTGCGCTGAATCCGAATTTGGCTGCAGAATTGCTCTATCACGTCAAGATTTCGAGATATTCTAATTTAAAACTGCCAAAAAAGCCGTTTTCAACCATATTTTAAATTAAATTAAAAATTAAGAAAATTTTTGTTGTCAAATCCATCAATGATATCATTTACTACTATATGGCCCCTTCAAAATCCATTTTGAACCATCTCAAAGCGATTTTTTTCTTTCGGGGATATACTTATTCAAAGTTCAATGAATTGTACCTCATAGGAACCTAATCTGTACACCGTTGTATTAGAACAATATTTCTGGACAGATTAGTTGATTCTTCTACTTTTTGTCACAGAATATTTTTAAATCTGCGAGAATTGTTATACTTTCACTGTTCATGTCTTACTAGTATTTTATGTTGCTGTCTCTAGTGGTACAACGACACTTATATATATAGAAACAGCAACAAATACTAGTAAGACATGAACAGTGAAAGTATAACAATTCTCGCAGATTTAAAAATATTCTGTGACAAAAGGTAGAAGAGTCAGCTAATCTGTCCAGAAATATTGTTTTAATACAATGGTATGCAGATTAGGCTCTTATGACGTACAATTCGTTGAACTTTGAATAAGTATATCTCCGAAAGAAAAAATTGCTTTGAGATGGTTCAAAATGGATTTTGAAGGGGCCATATATGGCCGTATAGTAGTAAATGATATCATTGATGGATTTGACAACAAAAATTTTCTTAATTTTTAATTTAATTTAAAATATGGTTGAAAACGGCTTTTTTGGCAGTTTTAAATTAGAATATCTCGAAATCTTGACGTAATAGAGCAATTCTGCAGCCAGATTAGGATTCAGCGCAAAAAATTACATAAGAAAACATTGTTAAATCCTAATCAACTTTCAACACCTCCAATTTTGCAGGCCTGTGTAATCATTAATCTTATGTTTTAATAACTTACTTGCAGAATAGATGGATAGAGAACTTTCTCAAATTTAAGCTTCACGGGCGGGGGATTAATTGCAGTAACAGCATCTGCGATTTCCTCGCCGATAGTAAACGCCTCTTCTCGAGATTTCCCAGGTAATAGTATAAATAAAGAATCTGTATCCCCATAAACTACTCGTGCACCCCATCTTGGTGTGGTTTCCACCAATTTGATCGCACGTTCCAATGTCTCTCGTCCTTTGCTAACTACGCTATCACCTATCTATTAAAAAATGAAATCATTTTCGCAGCATATTACAAAATTTTATCAAATTTTTATTCTATCTTTATATATCTTATTAAAACATTGTACCTCGATACACGGCATTCTACCGCTAAAATTGGCGGATGTATAGCCGTAAGTAACATTTGCAATTAACTTGAGACCCAACTGCTGAGAATGAAGAACGCGCTGCAACGTACGATTTTCTGCCGGATGCAGCTTCATAGATTCCTTCACCATCAGACGTGTATTCAAAATTTCCGAAAGCATACGCGGTAGTATTCCCTGACGTACTTCTTTCTTTACAAAGGCTACGCCGCAAGGCGAAAAGTTTATTTTGTCTTGCAACTTTAATGCTATGTTCTTCCTTA